TTTAAGCAGTTTATGTACTCTTGGCTTTGCAAAAGTTGCTTATTGCTTTTCTGTCTTCTTTAGAGTTCTTTGTAGATTCAATCAGTTTATTTTATATTTAGACGAAGACTGCTACAGATAGCTATAGTGGTCCTTCAGCCATTTTGGCTAATGAGCAGCCGGACAGTGTGGGAAATGTAGTTTAACAGCAGGGCCTTTTGCAATTTCTACCATTGGGGGCCTGACCATCACAAACTACAACAATGGCTGTGCTTAGCCACGTCAACCTCATCCCTCCCTTGCATCGCTGGGGGAGAGAAAGCATGAGATTTTAAAACTTTTTAGGCTTTACCAAAGTTGCTTAATTGTTTTAAAAATTAAAATAACCTTGGGAGACATCCAAACATGGAATATTTCCGGAAAAAAAGGTTAGTGGTTCAAATTCGGATTCCCYCCCCCCCCCCCCCCACCACCTGCATGGTTCAAAACTGTTTTGAAAGTCAAAATTCAGAAGTTTTTTACGACTTTTAGGCTCTACCGAACGAACCTATCCAACCCTAGTAAATACATATTAAATGTATTAGGATAATACATTTGGGTTAAAGTGTAGTACAGAGTGGTGGCCAGTGAGTTGATCACTGTCTGTTCTTGGGTTAGAACTTGAAAGTAACACATTACAGGTTTAGCATCCCTTATCTAGAATTCCAAAATCAAAATGCCCCAAAATTCAAAATTGCCTCAATTTTGCTTTCTGATGATTCCATGTATAAGTAAGAATGTTACATGGATTAATTATTATATAACCATTAATCTCAATCTCTCTCTCTGTATACGTATCTTTTAAAATTACCTTGACCAACCTGCTAATAAAAAGTTAAAGATACAAAATTATTTCTGAGGGTTATTTATGAAAGTCATGCTGTGGACTGAAGTCCTCTATTTATCTACTGAGCAAGTAGAGAAGGGAACATGCTGTGCTCAGCTTAGATATATTGTTCCATCTACATGGGGTGCAGTGAAAGAGGGCACACCTATTTCTATGTGCTTCTTAGCTGAACAACAGAAAGGACCATCTGACCAAGTCTGTATTTTATTGATTTCCTTTTTCCTGTTATTTCCTTAAAACACTGGACATCATTTGGTTGGTGACATCTAATTACAAAATGCCAATTTAATAAATAGTTGAATGGTGTGTTGAGATGTGTGTGTGTGTGTGTGTGTGTGTGTATATATATATGTATATATATATATTCTTCAGTGTATGAAAGCAATCAGATCTTTGGCATGAGCTTGCAAAACTTGATTTCATATATTCTTTTTTGTAAACAACACAATCACATCTCATAGAATCATAGAGTTGGAAGAAACCTTGTGGGCCATCCAGTCCAATCTCCTGCCAACAAGCAGGAAAATTGCATTCAAAGCACCCCTGACAGATGGCCATCTAGCCTCTGTTTAAAAGCCTCCGAAGAAGGAGCCTCCACCACACTCCAGGTCATAGGGTTCCCCGGACTGTTGGAATTAGATCCTAGAGGTCCTGTTGATTTGAGTCTCGACCACGTGCTCTGGTCTACCAAGGATTCCAGCCACAAGTTCTGTTATTGCCATATCAAGTTCCTGTACAGATTCCGTTATTCATCTCAACCTCAATGGGTATTCTCTTCGCGAATATTCTACTCTTTGGAGTTACGTTGAATCTCTCAAAATCCATTTGCATCTTCTCTTGTGCCTCTTCAATTGTTTTTATTTTCTGTTTTGATGTTCTTGCTGTTTCAAAATACCACTCATTGTGTCTGCTATCAGTTGCATATCCTTCTCCATCTCTTGTTGACCTTTATGTAATTAACCTTCAGCCTGTATAATTCTCTTGTCAACCCCTACCTCCAAATTTTTCATTCCATCTATAAAGGTTCTTAACGGGGTCAACATTTCCCTCATTGGACTTTCTTCTTATGGAGGAGTCCCTCTCCTGAAAGCTTCTTTCTAGTCTTTCTGATCTTTGAATCTTGGTCTTGTTGACATTGCAGTCATTTCTGTAGTCAAGCTATCTTTTTAAAAACAAAACAAAATAGATGTATAATTTGTGAAGATTTGTTGTGGTCCTTCCTTCAGCCACAATCACTTTTATTATGCTGTTGCTTATAGCCCTTTTAGTTGTTTTCCTGTTTTCTGTATTTCAAGCTCTATGATTTTCTCTATACTTTTATCTCTATTGTTCATCGCTATTGTTGTTTCCTTTCTTCCTGTTTGGAATCAGTCCAGTGGTTCCATGCAGTCCCAGAATGTAATGGCTATCAAGTTCTTAGGTATATTAAACATTTTATTTCCCACTGTTCTTATAACATAATCTTTAACACATTAATTCACTTTCACCCTTTATTTATTTGCGACATTTCTACCCCTCCCCACCTTTCTCAACCTCAGAGGGGACTCAAGGTGTAGTTGGTCTCACCAGATAGTTTCATCCGGCAGACTTAGAAAATTCTTGAAGAATAGTTCCACTAATTGGATTTTTAAGGTCATTTTTATGTTTACAATTTCCAATGGAGGAAAAAACAATACAGTTTACCTTTCATAATTGGTAAGCTTACAGCAGATTGAAGGGCATCTTTAGGTTGCATATAGTATTTTAAGAAGAGAATCGAAACTGCTTGTTTACTTCTGCTTGCATGACATTGTTGATGGGGTATGCAATGTCTGCCCCTCCTCTCTGCTTCTCCTTTTTTAGTGACGGATGTGAAATTTGTTGAGTCTTGAGGTGTTTGTGTCTGTCCTTCTTCTTTATGAAAAAGTATTTTTCAACTCTATATGGTTGATAAACCCCCAAGGATGTCCCAGAGCTCAGGCAGCTCACTGAAATTCTGCTCACAGCTCCATTTAATTCACAGGAAGTAGTGAGTTATATGTATTAAACTAAATGTGAATTTAATGCCAGGTCCTAGTAAAGACATCTTGGATTAGGTTGTGCTTCTAAACTCATTCATGATTGGTGCATATAGGTTAATGGGATATTTGAATATCAAAAGGTCTGCAATTCTCTGCTTGCTGGTGTGTGGGTGTGTTACATTTTATTAAATATTTATTTCTGTATTAAATATTATTAAATATAGCTGTCCCTCCCCATTTGTGAGCAGTTATAGACACAGGGGTTAGTTCCCTATACCATTTTTAACAGGGACTTAGATATCACTGGAGAAGTCAGGCTTAAGTCAGTGGTCAAATTTTTGGTTGCTGGAAGGAAATCAGACTGGAGGAGTGAACATGTCAGAAATTCTCCTTTGTACCAAGGTGACTTCAGGAAAAAGGAACTGTGAGGTTTTCAAAACCAATTTAAGTTTGGATTATTGGAGTCAAACTAGGGCAGGATATTGTGTACTGGAGCTGGGAGCCCTTGTGTTGATTCAGCCTGAGTGAGAGAATGTGGCAATACATAAGCAATAAAAAATGAATTAGAAAAGGTCCAGTATAAACTGACCCTTCTTAACCTTTGATTCTCCAAATGTTTTGAACTCCCAACTCTTATATCCCTGACTCCTGGCCATGCTGGCTGAGGTTTCTGGAAGTTGAAATGATACCCAACTGGAGGGCCAAAGAAAATCATTACTATAGTTCCCTTTCAAGGGATGCACATTTAATACCCAGCCAATTTCAGTCGCATTCTTGTAAACACCTTTATGATCAGGCACACACAGATTTGCCAAGAAATGAAAAATATACACAACCTGGACACATAAGGATCTTTTTGCCCATATGTAAAAGCAGCATAAAAACAACCAAAACAAAGACAGAATTTGGTTCCCATTTGGATTTCATGTTTTATGGATGTTGTTTTCTGGACATCTGTGAACCTTCGGACTCCCAACTCCTTGGTGCCAAAGATCCCAGCTCCAGATTGAAAACTACTCCTATAATGTGATTAGTGTAGTGATTGCTGCTAATTACCTGGAGATTATGGAAAGCAATGCTGCCCGCAGCATCTCTACCTATCCTCTTCCAACAAGGCTTCATCCTGAGGGTCTGTACGTCTTCATTCAAAAATACTTCAAAAATAATAATAAAAAACAAAAATGGACAAGTTGTCCTGTTTGTCAGAAATAGTGTTTTATTTATTTAGCTTTTCATACAGAATTTGGAACAATGATGACACAAGCTTTTAGGTTTTCTTTCCACAATCCTGGAGAGCCTGAAGTACCAATGCTCAGAACAAGATCCCTGGGGCTAAATTTGTCTTCTACAAAAGGAACAAACCTGATATAACATCAAGATGGTATCTAGTGGTAGATCTTATACATTTTAAAATCATAATGTTATCCTGTTTAATGAGCTTTATATACAATTAACTGTGGCAAGGAAGGTCTTTTTTTTTTTTTTTTGGTTCTATTGATCGGTGCAAGGAAGGTCTTCTGACTAAAGATGGGAAGACCAGGGAAAAACTGAAAAAATGGAGAAAATTAGAAAGCTCTCTCATTTTTTCCAAAGCCATTTCCCCCCAGAAAAATTGAAAAGTGTGTAGAATATGTTATTTTCCAATGATAAATAATATATCTATGACATAGGATTCAAACTATATAACATGAAGACCTTAATGAAAAAAATTAGGCTTTTTGTTTCTAAATACTCCCCCCCCCCCCCAATTTTTCCAGGGAAAATGGCTTTGGAAAAAACCAGAAAAAACTGTTTTCCCCATTTTTTTCTGGGGGTTTGCCCTTCTCGATTTCTGACACAGAACACAAGTAGTGCTGACGCTGGAATAATTAATATCAGTAACATGATTCTTAAAAGCTTCCAGTAAAAGTTGCATGAAGCCATGGAAGAAAAATAACATTAATTCAGACTGGCAGATTAACTTGTGTAAATAAAAAGCCAAATTGCTTGACCTTTCCACTATCTCCCCTTAAGCTTAAAGAAATGTATAACCAAATATTTTTAAAGTAACATTTTAGCCATTTACCCATGTCAAAATATAGTGAGTTGATAATGATGTAGATGGCTTAAAGAATATAGACATATATACATCTAAATTAAAAATCATAATTAGCACTTTTAAGATTTGAATTAAAATCCAGGAAACATGATTTGGTCTTCACAGAACAAAATATACAGACATTCCATGTTTTACGTTATCAAACACATTTCTTTGGCATGAACTTCTGCTGGTGACAACCCATTTCTTTATTTAGATACACGTATCTCAGAAGAAAAGGTGTATGCCAAATAAAAACTGTTAAATCTTTCAGGTGCCAAAGGACTTGTTACTGCTCCAACAAAATGAATACAAACACCCTTCCAGAATACAAATATCGCTCTAGAAAATTCTGCTATCCAAATTAGGGGACAATAGGTTATTACAAATCCAGGTTATTCACATTATGTTTGACAGAGCAAATAATACAAAACAAAGGAAAAAATAGTGTTGATTGAAGATGATGCAAGTCTGACATCCTTATACACAATGTGTAGAAAATACAGAATGCACAATTTTGATACAAAGTAAGTGTGGAGAGCATGACAAAACCAATTTGCTGATTTACTGGTAAAAACTCTTCCCTGTTTCTATTTTATGTATTTTTTGCTAACTCGAATTCTGCCCTTGTTTCTCCATTTCTTCACAATTTGGGGCAGTCTATTAAGCTCATGTTAAGACAGCTAGAAGATTGGCCACTCAGTATTTTGGAGTTTGGGGAAACATCTTATTGGACATTGGACAGATTGGACATTTGTCCCTGCCACTGACTTTACTTCCAGATTCTTAAGGAGACAGAACATATTTGGAGTCCACCTCATTACTCCACATATACAGTAACTATAATTTTGTTAGAAAAACATGAAAAGTGTCTTCTCATAAAAGTCACGTTTGGACACAGATGTATTTTCATATGTCTGTAATAGAGAACATATCCAGTAGATATTACATTTATGAACTTGGAAGACGAATGAGATATCTAAGACCATCTCTCTTCCATAGCTGTTAAAAAAATGAAATGTAATACAGAGAAGGATAGTTTCCAAATGGGCTCCCCATATAACAGGAGGACTACTGTGGCTTTGGAAAGCCCCCATAAGGATACTATTACCTTCCTTGATGACCTTGTCACACCAATCATGAAATGAATATTTGTCCTGCTGCTCAGTTGTGTGAAAATGATATCAATGATCTTGAGCACTACCACAAAGTTAAGTTCCCTAAATGTTGGGGTGTCCATTGCATCCTGGAATTTAGATCTGCAGAGACTCAATGGCAACAAATATTTCTTGCTGATGACTTTTGGTTTATATGTTTAAACCAAAACAAAAATTTTGAGGCTGTTATAATAAAAAGGGAAGTGCGGCGGAGGGGGGGGGGGAGAGGGTGACACTTTAAAATACAGTGAAAAGCCACTTTAAAATTTACCACCAAGATTTAACAGTATTCTTGAAGTTAGGTTGCCCTTTTCTGCTGTTCTCGAGCAGTCACGAAATTAAGCAAGTCAATTGCTGTGACAACACCAAACACCATTTGCCTTTTACTGGATTCACCATTGCTGTGATCTAAAGAAGAGAACAAAATACAAAATACAATATTTTATAATCCAAATATGTTCCAGCTTCACAGCACCACTTATAGTTAATTACTACTAAGAGCCAGCATGGTATAGTGGCTTGAGCACCAGTCTATGATGGAGGATCAGGGTTTGAATCCTTGCTCAGCCATCGAAACCCACTGGATGGCCTTCGACAAGCAACACACTCCCAGGGCCCTTCCACACAGCCATATAACCCAGAATATCAAGGCAGATAATCCACAATATCTGCTTTGAATTGAGTTATCTCAGTCCACACTGCCATATAATCCACTTCAAAACGGATAATGTGGGATTTTATACAGCTATGTGGAAGGAGCCTTAGCTTTAGAGGAAAGCAAAGGAAAACTCCCTGTGATCAAGTCTTGCCATGAAAACCTAATGACAGGCCCATCATAAGGTTGTACAAAGGGGAAATCACTTGAAAGCACACACCACCAACAGGTTACTACTAACTACAGAACATATCTACCTATATAGACCAATTAGTGAGAGATAAGAGAAGATTTATTCACTGCCATCTGGAGAGTCATTCCCCAATCTAGAGATACATACACATATTCATAAACACGTGCCCCATTTTTCATGAGAACTACTGAACTGAAAGCCCAGCAGCAAACTGTAGATGCTCAATGATGACAAAACTCTGAAATGTTCCTCTATTTTGGACAGCAACCCCCAGACTTCTAGTTTCTGGGAATTAGTCCAAATATATGATGGTTGCTTACCTGTAACCATGTTTCTTTGAGTGGTCATCTGTGAAATCAGCACATGTGGTACATCATCTACCATATATGCTCATTTCACAGAGAGCATGAAGGACAAATATATATATATATATATATTAGGCCTGGGTAACAACGCAAAAATTTGTTTCTAAAATCGATTCGTTTTTTGGGGGTTTTTGCGTTTCGATATTTAAAATAATTACAAAATTTTCCTTTTTAAAAGTTCGGTATTTACGAAATTTCGTTATTATTAACGAATCGATTTGTTAAAATGGCGGACGCGGCTGCGCAACATGAAAATATTAGTTTTAAATAATAGTTTTAATAATAATAGTTTTTAATAATAGTTTTAGTCCGCCCCCTCTCTATCCCTCCCTCCCTCCCTCTCCCTCCCATCCGCGCGGTCGCCTCCGTCTCGTTGCTGCGCCTCCTCCTGCGTTTCCTTTTCCCGGCGGGGGAGGCGATCGGGGGAGTCAGCAACCGCAGCGTCGTCGGCCTTGCCGCTGCTGCTGGGCGGGGGTCTTTCCCAGGGCGGCGGATGCCAGGGCCCCGCCGAGCGGGCACGCCGGACCACCCCTGCGCCGGGCCGGGCATGTGTGGGGTGTGCATGCCCAGGTGAGCCGGGAAAAGGGGGAAGAAGGGGGCGGGGGGAGCCAGGGGAGCGAGGGGAGGAAGCCAGGCCGGGAAGGGAGCTTGCTCGCTCAGTCTCTCTCTCTCGCCTGCCTTCCCTTCTCCTTGCCCCTGCTCGGGCCCCTTTGCAGCCAGGAGCTGAAATAATAACGAAACAATTACAAAACAATTACAAAATAGCTTTAAAAATTCGTTTCGTTTTTTAGTTGCTCCTGGATGGTTTGTTATCGCTTTGTTATCAAGAAAAATAACGAATTATTAACGAATTACGAAATTAACGAACGAAACCGCCCAGCCCTAATATATATATATATATATATATATATATATATATATAGTTTTGCTCTAGAAGCTGGAACCGTTGGTGCAGTTGGCACTCTTGACAAGTGATGAACTTTCTTGAAAGATACAGAATCTGCCAGATCCTATGGGCCTTCTGACTGATCACATTGTTTTAATCTCAACCTATGCAATTCTGCACAAGCAGTAGTAACAAAGATTGTTCTGGGCATCTGAAGAAGAATTTGCCCAAACACTGCTTCACTTGCCTTGTAAAAATAGTGTTGTTTTAGGTGTTGAGGCACCAGTCTTAGCTTGCTCCACAGCAGCTAAACATTGGATTGAAAGATAAAAGCACCTTAAAGAGAGGTAATGGTCAGAAACATTTTGGACAAGGAAGTCATACCAGGCAAATGTTTTGGAGCCTCAGATATTGTAGTATTCTTCTAGTGGCAGGATTTCAGTTCCCAAATATTGAATATTTGTTTTCTATTCGCTGTTTTAAACCAGGGTAGGCAATTTCGGGGGTTTAAGGGCCCCCAATGCTCCCCCCTCGCTTAGACAGTTATTATCTGCTGGGTTTTTTCCCATCCTGGAGATACATTAACCATGTCTGTGGCTGTTTTAGCTCAAGGGAAGTCTTTTCCAACAGGAAGTGATCTCAACGACTGTGTCCTGTTGGGGAAAAAGGTTCTCCACATCTACAACAGCCCAGTCTCCATAAATATAGCAAAACTGTCAGCCAAGCCCTCTGAGGCTTTTATAGCATTTTTTAGGGAGGACTTCTTTAAAACCCCTAATTTTGTGGAAAAATACCATTTCCTGAAACCAACCCCCCTTCTGAGTGGTGCTGGGGTGATCTCAAAAAAGCAGCCTTGAGGTTTGAATACTTCACCTTTGCACCCCTGTTTTCAAAGATCTGCCTGCAGAACAAGGAGTTTAAAAACCAAGGATTAGAACCAAACATTTCCTTCCTTTGATGGAAAAAATCACTCTGTTGACAGAAAATTCTTTCTTCCGAAGGAAGGGAACCTTTGGAACCACCACAAAGAAGGACAGACACAAGAAGGTTAAATAAACAAGGATCATTCTCAGATACACAATGAGACAGCCAGGTCTGTAAAAAAGGTGGAATGCTATCTGTATCAGCACACAGAGGATGTTTATTTATTTATCTTTGACTGTTCAGGTTAGCCTTCTGCCCCAAAGTAGCTAGCAAACAAAACCAGGGATAAAAATGAAGAAGGGTTTAATGCTATGCCTTTAAAAATGAGTTTGTATGGCTAGTAGCCATACAGTGGGTGGCGTGTGTGTGTGTGTGTGTGTATGTGCGCCACCCACTGTATGGCTACTAGCCTCCTCCCAGTAGCCTTAAATCAAGGAAAAGTTTAATGAGAACCACCACTCCTCTGGCAACAGCAAGAATACCCCTGTGGGCTACAAATCAGGCAATTCCAACTGGACTGGATGCCCTCCCCCTTCCTCCAGGGACAAACCAAGAATGGGCAAGTCCCTGAACAGACTCAGAAGTGGAGTTGGCAGAACAAAAGATGGTAAAATGGTGCTACTTAGAAGAATCCGCCACGTGTGACTGTGAAGCAGAACAAACAACTCAGCATCTGTAGGCTTGCCCACAATGTCCTGCCTCATGCACAGAGGAAACATTGTTTAAAGCTACAGACAATGCGGTCACTGTTGCAGCTTGTGATCCCTATTTATCTAAATAGTTTTAGATAAACTATTTTATCAGTTTTAGATAAACTATTTTATGCAATGCTTTTGACATGAAATAAATAAATAAATCGAAACCCTGTATATAGGTGCATATGATAAGTCCATTCCATTATTAAGAAAAAAAAACTTGAGACAGTCAACTGTGGAAGTTGATAGTAATCAAATGTGGCACTAATCACACTTGCGGTTTCTCAAGTCGCTCCTGACACAAAAAAGAAAATCACATAATTCTTTAATTGAAAAATGCCTCAAGAGTGTTTGATAGAAAAGCAATTAACACAGATAGGTATAAATGATAGGTTCACAGTGAACAGGTAGGAAATGGTCCAGAGCACTCTTCCACTCACACTGAATCTGTTCATGAACCACCAGAGCAAAGTGGTCTATTTCCAAAATATGAGACAGCTTTCCCAAGTTGTCCTGCAGATGGATCTGGAAAGAGAAAAATTGTCTATTTTAAAATGTCTAAACAGATAAACATCCCAATTTTCACCTAACCTGGTACTTTGATAATTATTATTTAAAAAAATACTTGAATTATAATAGCAATTATTATATTTTGTAGGGACCTCTCCCATGAAATTGCTGTGTTTTAATAAAAACTAGAAATGCAGGAAGAAGAAAAAAAGACTGTATTGCTCTTCCACCAAAATGTAGCAGTAAGTCTGGAGTGCTGGTTAGACTCACCCTATCCGCTGATTTATTTTGGTTTTATTTTTCTGCTTTGTGTGCAAAGCACACAACTTGCATGTGTGTGTGGGGGGGGGGGAGGGAGGGGGCATATCAATAAAAACAGTTCCCATATCTGTCATAGATCCCTACCAATGTTCATATGAATGGATGAACTACAAAGACACAGGTATAATTGAAGTCAGCTGAATAAAAGTTTGGATGTCATACAAGGGATGAGGACTATATGGCCCTCCAAGCTATTGGTCAAACAGCAAATCCATCACCACTGGCTAGGCTTACTAGTGTTCACTGGCTATTCCCTGTGATGTTAGCAAAAAAAAAAAAAGAAGAAGAAAGAAAGAAAGAAAGAAAAAGGAAGAACCCAAAAGCACATACAAACACGCAGAATAGTTTTGAACTTTATGAAGAAAACAAGTTTTCTTAAAAGAAAAATGAAACAAGATAAATCCTTGCGCATTATGCTTTTACATCAACCAAACCATCCCAAATGTAGGCAGCTCGGTCATCTATCGATTATAATTTTTTTAAAAACTTTTTTTGGTAAGGGTAAAACCATTTCGGGGGTTTATAAAATGGTTAGGTGACATCACAGAAGTTAGTGAAACAAGTGGACTGCATAGTGGATTTGAATGTCAAATTTCATATAGCTGTTTGGGATGGGGAAAACCAAGTTTTGGGTAGAAATATATGTTGAGATTGAATGCTTCCATAGCAGGTCAAGAGCCAACTTGAGTACTGGACTAGAACCCTGGGAGATGAGGGCTCAAATACGGAAATCTTCCTATTAAAGAAGAAAGTCATGGGTGGGGTGTTTATGTATTTTAAATAGGTTTTTAATGGTTTTAACTACAGTATATACTCGAGTATAAGCTGACCTGAATATAAGCCAAGGCACATAATTTTACCACAAAAAACCGGGAAAACTGATTGACTCGAGTATAAGCCAAGGATGGGAAATGCAGCAGCTACTGGTAAATTTCAAAAATAAAAATAGATACCAATAAAATTACATGAATTGAGGCATCAGTAGGTTGAATGTTTTTGAATATTTACATAAACTGTAATTTAAGATAAGACTGTCCAACTCTGATTAAACCATTATTCTAACTTTCTTCAATGTAAATGTGCTTACGTATGCGCCCAATAATAATAAAGAGAGTAAAATAATAATAATAATAAGGCTGAGTCACACTCTCTCAGCCTCATAGGAAGGCAATGACAAATTTCCTCTAAACAAATATTATTAAGGAAACGGTATGTGATAGGGTTGCTACAAATATAGTCAACATGAAGGCATATAATAGCAGCTGCATTATTCTACAAATGCAGTATTTTATCTCTGACCTTATTATTTCCTAACAAGCAACCCATATGCATTGATATACATGTCCAGGTTGGTGTGGCCCAGCTTCATAGTAAGCAGGACCATGGATTTGGCCACAAGAACAAATACACTCTACTTAACTCATTTTTCCCAGTAAATTTTTAGGCCTACCTACATAATCGATAATTCAACCTTCTGCTCTACTCTTAACAGTTCAAACCAAGTGAGCTTGCTCCAATGCAAGAATGGCAGTAGATTGTAAAAGCATCTTGTATTAAGTAGGAAAAAAAGGATTTCCTTCAGTGTAGCTCCCTTCTCTTAGTAGGGAAATGTTGGTAGATGGCTTTTCTTTAATTTAGGATCAGCCACCAACAACATTCCCCATATAGACACCAGCCATCGCAAGCTAGAGAAAAGAGATGCTATGTTGCTGAATTACGCACCATTTTGTAGGATGATTCATTTGACAGCTAGAGGAGAAAAACAAGTGATTTACTGTGTTCAAAAATCATATAGTAGCACTGTTTCTTAAGGTATTGGTCTAAGCTCAATTGTTGTCCCAATGGACTAGATGAATTAAGTCGATTGAATGGCACATCAATAAATTCCATTGATTAATGTGTCATTCCACTTTGGGTTTTGGCCACAAAAGGATGAAGCAGGCATTTACATTGTGCTCACCCAGTATTAAAAAATAAAGTGTACTTCTGTTACTGCTGCAGATCTAAGAGTTATAAAACAATCCTTTGTGGTGAAATCAACACACTGCCTGAATGTCGAATGGTACTAAATTGATGGTGTGTGTCATGATATGGGGAGGGGTGGAGAGAGAGAGATACTAGAAGATGCAGGTACCTTTTTGAATTGCTTGTAGATGACTTTACTGACTTGGTCTGATGGCTGTACTTTGCCCGCAAGCACTGAAGAAAGCATATTGCCAAGAGTAACCATTCCCAAAATCACTCTGAAAAGAAAACCCAAGCACAGCAGGTCAGGTGGACTTCCTACAGAATGAGTTCCATGTCCTTACTTTCTGTTCAGTTTACTACCTTAAACTAGTATTTTCAGATTCCTCTTCAAGTCTGAATTCACTGGTTGTTGTTTTTTAAGGTCTTTAATTGCAAACGACCCATGTTGTGTATAATACCATTGCTTTTAAAAAGAAACGCTAATTCCCGAAAGGAAATTTAGAGTGCATACCTGGAGGGGAAAAATGGGGCATTCAACCATTTGCCTGACTACAAAGTACACCATTCCAAATCCTTACTTGTCCAAATGATTCCACTTGGGTGTGGGGAATATTTATTTATTTACTCTGTTTTTTTAAATATATTTTTATTTACATACATTAACAGCTTGCAGTGTAAACAGAACACAAAACAACAAACATTTTACAAACACATAACCCCACCACCAAGGCCTGAACAAGTATCCTTTCCTTTGCCATATATGTATGAGTCAACCATTAACCAAATGTCAAATCCAAAATTCCTGACCAACAAGGTATATTGTTTTCCTTTTCCACTTTCTAAAACATATTTAATAAAAACCGACCAGTATGAATCAAAATCTGATCTGTTAGTTTCCTCCCCTGAACACCCTCATTTCCATTGATAGTTTATTGTTTAAGGCTACGTTCCATATCTCCCCATATCATGCTTCCAGAGTGATATTAGTTACTATTTTCAAATTCCTTGCGATTATAAGTCTCGCCACTGTGAGTAAAATAATCACCAATTCTTTCTTTTCCATTTCTAAATTCAACTTTATGGCGTCCATTAGCAATGCTAACCTTGCATTGGGTTTAGCTCTATAATGTTACCTATTTTGATAAATATGTTGTTCCAAAAACTTTTCAACTGGGGGCATTCCCACCATAAATAAAAACATGTCCCTTTGTGCATGCCACATCTCCAGCAGAGGTTACTTTGCTTACTATCCATCTGATGTAGTTTAACTGGAGTGGTATACCATCTCCATATGACTTTTCTACACATTTTCTTTTAATCTTATTGACAGATTCTTAACCACTCTCCACTTTAGAACGCTTTTCCAATCGAATATTTGCTCTATTTGTATCCCACCTTTCTCTACCCTAAAGGGGACTTGAAGCGGGTTTACATATGGAAACTATTCAATGTCTTTGGACAACAAACAGAATTCACAAAAGTTAAAAAATTAAAATTAAAATTGAATACACATTATAACATATAAAACATTACATTCACTATGAAAATCACAACATCCTCAATCATAACCCGGGGCCATTCCAAAGATCAACTGCACATAATTCGAGGCTATTATTGCACTATAGATTAATCTCCAAAGGCTTGACCCCAGAGCCAGATTTTCACTTTCCTTCTGAAGGTCAGGAGAGAGGGAGCTGATCTAATGTCACTGGGAAGGGAGTTTCACAGTCAAGAAACCACCACTGAGAAGGTCCTGTCTCTTGTTCCCACCAGATGCACCTGTGATGGATGTGGGACCAACAGCAGAGCCTCCCTAAATAATCTTAATCTCTGCAATGGTTCATAGGAGGAGATACATTTGGACAGGTAAACTGGGCCAGAACCGTTTAAGGTTTTATAGGCTAAAACCCGCACTCTGAATTGTTATCATCATCACAATTATCATCATATTATTGTTACTGAAACAGTGGAAAAATATTTACACTATTCACGGTGACCTGTTTTATTATCTTGCAAAAACATGTGCATTTTAGACTTAGGCTGCCTAGGTAGCGCCTACTAGCATGTGTACACACATTAACCTTTAAAGACATGCTGAAATTAGTTGAAAGTTCAAACATGGCACATTTCCTCTTTTCCAATCTGGGTAAATGTCATTAGATGATTTGGGCTTTTAAATTGGCATGGCAGATGATCAAAAAGTAAACTTCATTTAGCAAACCAGGCTGTATTCTGGGTGCGGACATACTGCCTGAATTGCAGTTTGTCCCCATCTGACCAGCCAATAATGCTGGCAAATCCACTGGCCTATTTCCTACCTGGCTGTCTTAAGAACTGAGATGCAGTTTGGGCTCAGTTAATTCCTTTATGGGCCATTTCGAAGTAATGACCACAGCCCTCAAAAGGCAATAAAACCAATTTTAAAGGCAGATTTTGAAACCCAACAACTGCTACCATGCCTATTCCGCTTAACCTTTTTTGATCCTTAACAAAGGATCAAAAAAGAAAGAAAGGAATGAGAAGGTGGGATGTTTTTCTGATCAGGTGCCTCCTGAGTCATTTAGGCAAGTTTAGGACACTTTTTGTACAAGGAGTTTAATCTGTTAGGAAGGCACAAGCCAAGAGTCAGAGTCAGCTTCCTTATGATCCATATTATCATCCTGACATTCCATTAAGGATGACTTCAATGTTTTGTTAGAGCAGGCCACTTTCATGGGGGTTAGGGATGTAGGACTTCCATGAAAGTGGGAAAAAACACAAATTTTAAAGAAACCTGCTCTTTTTTTTAACCTGCAAGAACACCTCTCTAGGAATTTCAAGGTTCTCCAGCACAGGGGACCACATCTCTAGAAAATTAGGGGTGTAAAGCAGAGGAGGAAACACAAAGTCTGCACATACCCTGATTCATCAACAACTGGTACCTGGTCGAAGCCCTTCTCTTTAAGTATTTCAATAGTTTTTTCACAGGTGACACTTGGTAGTACTGTAAGAGGGGCAGAGAGGGTCAGTTCCTGAACTTTCAAGTGCCACCACCTAGGAAAAAAACAAATAAACATCATCATTCCCCATAAACATGATTTTATGGCACATCACGCGCATGATTTTATAGCAAGCAATTCAGGCATTGAAGAAAAATACATGTCCTCATACTTTGTGTATCTTTCACAGAAAGGTTGGTGGGGCCACTTATTGTGTGGCAAATAAAAATCTATAGCAAAATTACTGGGGCTAAATTAGGCAACAAGGTCTTGCATATGAAAAGGAAAACAGTACTGTGTTTACTCGAATCTAACGCTCACCTATTTTGGCTAAATTACCTTGTCAATATTAGGGTGCACATCAGATTAGTGTACTATGGTATTCTTAGTACTGAGCCAAAGCAAAAGGGGAAGCTGCTTCAGGAGCACCTGGAGCTCCATTTTGAGGGACATCATCTCTAATTTGATTGTCATGGCTCAACGCTATGCAATGCTGGGATTTGTAGTTTGGTGGGGCATCAGCATTCTTTGGCAGAGAAGGCTCAAGACCTTAAAAAACTACAGACGCCATGACTCCATAGCACTGAACCAAGGCAGTTAAAGTGGATTCATTCTACAGCATAGATGCACCCCAAGGTTTTCTTTTCCATTGCTGAAAGCTTTGGTGTTCTAATACTTTTGTTTTTAAAGAAGACAGCAACTGTAATGGCCAAATTACAAAGAGTGCACCTTTTGCTGCTGAACATTACATTCAGCAACAAGTACTTTTTTTGGTTTCATGGTTTTGAAAATTGAAGTCTGTTTTGATGTTTTGATATTTTACCATCCTTGTGGGAGGCTTCTCTCAAGTCCCCACATGGAGAGCTGGAGCTGACAGAGGGAGTTCATCTGTGCTCTTCCCGGATTTGAACCTGTGACCTGTTGGTCCTCAGACCTGCGGCAGGCACAAGGGTTTAAGCCAGGCATCCTCAAACTACGGACTTCCAACTGTTTGGGCCTTCAACTCCTAGAATTCCTGACAATTGAACAAGCTCATTAGGGCTTCTGGGAGTTGGAGGCCCAAACAGCTGGAGAGGATGCCTGGTTTAACCCATTGTGCCACTAGTTGTGTTCAGTAAGGTGGGTGGGACATTTTAACAATACCACCTAGGAGTTATTATCATCAGGACTTTTACTATGTAATGAATCTCAGCTGAAATAAAAACATAAGGATTCATATCAAAATGTCCAAAAGAAACCAAGGCCAGCACACTAATTAAAAATCCGTAGACAAAAGAGTTAACCACCAACAGTAACAACTAGGTTAATTTATTTATTTGTCGTGTCGGGGCAACCAGTCAATTATATTACATTTCTAACAGAACAAAGCAAACAAACAGACAAAATACAAAATTTGTGAGTTTGGTAGTTGATTAAATATCCTTTGACCAGTATCTGGCCACTTGGAGTGCTTCTGGTGTTGCTGCAAGAAGGTCCTCCATTGTTCATGTGGCAGGGCTCAGGTTGCATTGCAGCAGGTGGTCAGTGGTTTGCTCCTCTCCGCACTCGCATGTCAAGGATTCCACTTTGTAGCCCCATTTCTTAAGATTGGCTCTGCATCTTGTGGTGCCAGAGCGCAGTCTGTTCAGTGCCTTCTTTCACAGGCCTGAGTCAACTTTATCAGACACATGAAGTGGTATCTTCAATCAGCAGGCATATGCAAACAAGACTATGAATCTGGAGACCAGGGTTCAAATTCCTGCTCAACTATGAGAACCCAATGGGTGACCTTACACAAGTCATACCTTCTCAGCTTCAGAAGAAAGCAAAGGCCAACCTGTTCTGAATTAATCTTACCAAGAAAACCCTGTGATAGGTTTGTTGTAAATCTGAAAAATCTTGAAGGCACATGACATCCAACATATAATCTTTTGGAGGTAGGGACAACCTCATCTTAATTAAAACTGTAACTATTTGCACCTAAGGAATATTAATTTTCAGCATTATCTTATCTTATCACATATCTGGTCCAATGAAACCTAGCTAGAATATGATATAAACTTTCTTGCAATTTAGGGATTATTTTAGGATGTGACTTCACAAGTGCATCTGATGTATCATGACAGATTTTTATCATCTCACCAAGGTTTGTTGATGATGTCATTCTCTTCTGTCATGAACCCTTTTTGGGTCATCCATTTGTCACTCAAAAACTTGGACCTGGAAATGACCACGATACTAGATTAGTCACAATCATCAATTTAGGTTAAACCCGCCTGAAAAGTAAACAAGTTATTAAAAATGATGTGGAAAGAAATTTCACAACTTGCATTTATGACAAAAATACATCATTATAAACATCACGCTGTCACACAAGTTTGCAAAAGTTCATCTGAGGAAATCAAACACAACCCATAGGTGAAGTCTGATGGTTTATTGCCACCGACTACTACCGTCGTAGTGGGGCAAATGTAACTGGGTAAGAGTGGGAAGGCTCTGGAGGTCAAATACAAATGCCAGCCACCAATATCCTACAAAGGCTGCCTCCAGTCCTGTCTAAAAGAAAACAAGAAATCCACTTCTGTTTTTTCACACACACACCACCCTAGGTGCACAAAAGAAAACAGGATTCCTCCTTTTGGCTTCAGTATTTAAATGTAGCAGTGGAAAGGAAGCCTGGAAAGATGAGGATAGAATTATGAGGATAATCAGAAACATCAGTCATCATAGACTCAGTGGGAGCAGGATGAGAAGGCAGCATAAAACAGCATCACTATGTATTAGAAGGCAGGTCCCACTCAAGAAGTGCGATCTTCAGTTTGTTTATTTTTATGCTTTCCTGGAGCTTTTATACCACACCAGGACAATAACAAAAATTAAGACCAACCACAAACATTCTTGAAGAGGATCTGCGTTTTTTTACAGCAGAGGTATGCATCTGATAGAACTTATCAACTATTAAAGTAAATATGATAGAAAAGACTGTCAATTGAGCCTTCAGGGGGGAAAAAACCTCAAATTCATGTGATTACCAAGAAGGTCATTTCTGTTATGTCGATCAACCCCACCTCCATGTAACAAGAAAGGGCGTATTCATCATCATCATATGTTTAGGCACAGAAAGATTGCTTTGGAAGGCATAGTCCTTAAGATACTAAGATACACCACACCTTGTGTGATCACCGTTAAGGTCATTTCTGTCATGTCCATCGACCCCACCCTCCACTAAACCTGGGAAACAGGGAAGGGTCCATCCATCAGATCTTAAGATGCAGAAATACTACTTTGGAAGGTGGCAGTTTCTAAGATGGCTGGAAAATGTGGATCCAGAGAGCCCACTATGTTACGGGTGACAATCAACTCCACTACAGATCCTCTGTCTTACAGCGATAATAGGTTTCAATATCTTCAATGCTTTTCATGTGTCATAGTAATGGTAATGGAGGTGCTTAGCTATGAAAGTCCACTCAGATGTCCTCATGATTAGAATTAAGCAGATGGGGCCAGTTATGCAAGCAGAGATTATTCTACTCAGGAGGGATGTCACAGCAGAAGAGAGTTACTTACATGTAGTTTCTGACAGAGTCAGGGAGGATGACAACACACCGCTGGCCTTCTTTCAGTTGTTTGGCAGCCTTCACAGCCACAGACATTGCACTGCCAGAGCTGCCACCTGTCAAAAGGAGAGAAAACATTATCAAAAAATGCAGGTGTTAAAGGAGAAAAAGAAAATTATGACCCAAATAGTAAAACCCCTTGAAAGCAAAGTCATATGAGGAATGGCTGGATATATTTAGCTTGAAGATGGTTGGGAGAGGACAAGATAGTAATATTTAAATATTTGAAAAGTTGTCATATTGAGGAGGGGGCAGGCTTGATTTTTCTGCTGCTCTGGGGACTAGGACATGGCGCAAAGGAGTCAAACTGCAGGAAAAGAAATTCTGCCTCAAAATGAGAAAGAAAACCCTGATAGTAAGAGCTATTATGTAGTGGAATATGCTGCCTTGAAGCATGGCAAAGACTGGATGGCCATCTGTTGGGCGTACTTTGTTTGTGTGTTCCTGCATGGCAGATGGGCCTTGGGGTCTCTTTCAACTCGATGATTTTATGATAAGAGAAAAACCCTGATGTAAAATTCTCTTAATTAATGATCTAAATTCTACTTGACAGACTATCTGACGTAAGGTTAAGTTATAGTGTGGAACCCATAAACTGGTATCATTGTGCATCATTCGAACCTATAGTCTTGGCCATGGAATCAGTCATCTCTTCTTTCTCCAGATCAAAAAAATAAGAACCTGTTTTGTTACACAGACAGCACTACAGGGAGCTTCATCAGATTTGCCTTCTGAATGAAATGGCATTGCCTTCTAAAGTCTAAACTGGCTTCAAGAGGCAGATTCATACATTATGGTTGACTACTTCTTCTTGTGGTGCCATGGTATAAGTAGGGTAATATGTATTTCACAGGTGTTACTCATGGGAACTATTTCAGCCCCAAAGGCATATATTGGAGAGCTACAACATCTGACTGAAACTCACAAGCTCCAATCCTCAATCCTCTTACAGACAATCCAAAGTATGACACACGCCAACCCCAATACCATAATTTTTTCTACTTTTCCCTCTTCACCATAGCTGTCCAATAATCCACTTCAGAAACTTCGAACATAACCTTCAGAGTGCACTTACCACATAACAATCCTTCGTCCCTGATTAACATGCGCGCAAAGGCAAATGTCTCCTCATCATTGCATTTATACCATTGATCCACCAGCTAGAGGAAAGAAAGGGAAAGTACTGTATTAAAGCTCATTCTCCACTTCGATGTTGCAGTAACACTGAGAATGCAAACAAACAAGGAGAGAAATGGATCAAAGTGTCAGGAACATCAGAAGTTGTTCTATACGGAGACAGATATTGGCTGATTGAGCCCAGCCAGCATTGTCTAATTGAGTTGGCAGAAAGGACTCCCCCAGAGATTCTAGTAGGAAATTATCTTCTTGGAGATCTCTTGGGTTTGCTGGTGGTATTCTATCCAAAGGTTAACTGGGCCAGACCCTGTCTCATCTCCAAAATGGGTTCCTCAGGAGTGTTCAAGGTAGTATTATGCATTCACCATCACAAATTCAAGGAAGGACACTTACCTGTAGCTCAGATGTCTCTGCCAATGACTTTCCTGCTCTCTTTATGACTTGGTTTCACTAAGCTGAGGACTGGCACACCAATGCATTCCCATACTATTTGTATAAAGATGTGTTGTGGGCCCGGAAGCTAATGTGTGGGCCCGGAAGCTAATGTTCTAAGAATCTCTAGGTCCTCCAGGATGAGTTTCCTGTAAGTTAACCATAGAGTCATGCTGGAGGACCTAGAGATTCCTGTTCTCTCAGACAGAAAAATGTACAGTTTCCCCATTTTCATAGGGGCCCTGTGCCCAAGCCCCAGTGAATGTAGAAGGACCACTGTGCACTGAAGCTATGGCAGAGCACCATGGAGGAATGTTCTGCTCAGATTTGTTTCTATTTTTGGAATACTGAGCACCTAGTTTGAGGCAGAAGTAAGAAAACATTACCCAACTTTTGCTATCTAAGCCTTAACCCCTTTTTTGAAGCAAGAACACTCCATTCTGTAGCAGACAGGTAGATTGGCTTTGAATTCAAAGTCTTGAAGCTACTGTGCCTCTTATGACTACAAATTCCACCCACCACTGATTTCTCTGCCCCTGTTATGAATACTGGTTCCACCTGCAGGCAGGCACTCTGCCTTCTGCTACTACACCAATGGACATGAGCTGCCACTGTTGTCCAACCATTAGACAGAGTGCAAATGAGGTGGACATGATTGAAACTGAGCATCAGAACAGTTTGTATGCATTACACCACACACTTGCAAATATGAGAAAATCATTTTCTTAGTAAAATAATTGCTTTGTTTCCAAAAGGGCCAGTCAGTTAAGAACATCTAGGAATCTGAATAAAATATGTAGGTCAACACTGTCAGGTAGAAATTAGATTTAGCTCAATCAGTGCACCAGTTGGAGACCCCAGTGGTGCAATGGGTTAAACCCTTGTGCCGGCAGAACTGCTGACTGACATCTTGGCAGTTCGAATCCGGGAAGAGGGTGAGCTCCTGTCTCAGCTCTAGCTTCCCATGAAGGGACATGAGAGAAGCCTACCACAAAGATGGTAAAACATCAAACATCCGGGCATCCCGTGGCAACATCCTTGCAGATGGCCAATTCTCTCACACAAGAAGCGACTTGCAGTTTCTTAAGTTGCTCCTGACACAAAAAAAGGGGGGCCAGTTCTGCAAAAATGTCTGTCACAAACTTAAGAATAACCAGAAGAGATTCAACAGTTGTCAGAATTTGTCACAAAATTAAAGATCTACCTCTTCTGGCAGGATTTGAAACTATGAATTTTTAAAGTGGCAGTTTATTGCGATGAATGATTTTAATGTGTTTCAATCTTATGTCTTTTAATATATGTGTCTTTAATAATGTTATAACATTTATTCTTGTATCCTGCCACCATCTCCCCGAAGGCACTCGGAGTGGCTTACACACAGCACAAGCTGCCTAAAAACAGAACATAAAATAAACACAGTACAAAATGCAATAAGCAAAACACATATACCTATAAAATATCAACTAAGACTTAATAAAACTGCACTCATGTTTTTATTGATGTATGTTAACAATGTTGTACCCTGCTTCAATCTTTGAGGAGAGGTGGTTAAGAAATAATTATAATAATATAACAATAAAAACAACAACAGCTTGACTATTGCTACTTTTGCGGACACCCCCATGAGGTGTGCATAAGAATGACGGGGGGAAATGCAAGGTGCACAAATAGGTAGGAAAAATATACCTTGGAAAAAATAGTTTCATGACCCACAACTCCCAGAATCCTTTGCCAGCAAAGTCATTGCTCCTGCTGGTTGGGAAATTCTGGGAGCTGCAATTTAACAAACAGTGCCAATGAGATCTAGTGGTTGACTTACTGATCTGTCCAGAACTGTAGGTATAAAATCATATCCAATCCCTTCGACTTCATAACTAGTTTTGTCTGTTGCATTCAGTTCTTCAGGTTCTGCAAGGATGGAGCCTTCAGGATCAACACCTATAACCTGCAAAACAGTTGAAGCAGCAGTTTAGTTTTCCAAATACATCTATTAAAACTGCAGTGTTCAATTCACAACACCATGATGAAGCAATGGCAGAAATGTTTCCTCATGCATTTATACTGTGGAAAAATGTCCAAGTTTAAAACTGTGGATGCTTTTAAAGACCGTGGAAAAACCCCACTGCTCCTAAATTCATTTCATTTGGCTTAGTAGAAGACTGGAGGTCAAGGCATTTCTCTGGATCACATTCAGATGCTGGATCTCATTACAGAACATATCTGTGATCAATATTTTAAAAAGCGGCCACCCCACTCCCAAGAGATGCAAGGAACAATATTACATTACATGTCTCTTGACAAACATCTCCCTGTCATCATGTTGTAAGTGATAGGGATCAGTACATTTCTAAAAACATATTTTTAAAACTAGCTTGCTAGTTATGGCATTTCTGGACAGAGATAACTTAATCATAATTGTCTATGCAATGGTCATTTCATGATTATTGTTTCTGTGTGCCTTCAAGTCATCACAGTGATCGAAAGGTGAATCTATCAAGGGATTTTCTTGCTAAGTTGTGTTCAGAGGGATTTTGCCGTTGTCTTCTTCTGAGGCTGAAAAAAAAGACTTTCCCAAAGTATATGTCCACAGGAAAGAGGGGAATCAGTCTTCTCCATTGTGCAATTTCCTCTCAGTATTTTAAAACCCCAAAGAAGTTGTGAATAGAAAAAAATGTAGCTTTTTCACACAACCCTCTCATGTTTCCTGAACAGAAAAATCATTCATTGTGGTTAAGAGACTATTCCAGAATACCCCTTAACCTCTGAGGATACCCTGCAACAGATGTGGTTGAAACGTCAGGAGAGACTGCTTCTGGAACATGGCCATACAGCCCAGAAAACTCACAGCAACCCATATTCCAGAATAGTTGGGTCTTGCTCCCTGATTTTGCCTTCTCAGAAGTGAGGCCTAGAAAAAGATCTCAGCATGTACGTTTTTTTTTTTCTGGGAAAGACATTCCACAAGGAACACCATTCAGCAGCTGGAGGGGATAAGGGCAAAATAATAGAAGTTTCAATACTGAATAGATCTCGGGACGTGTCTGATCACCACGGGCTAGAGCTTCTCTTAAGGCATACTCCATGGCTATACGGGTGGCCAGGGAATCTTTCACAACCACCCGTATAGCGTCTGCAGCAAATAGGTCATCAGAGCTGTTTCGGGTTGTCGGGGAGCTCCTTCACCCACCTGTGGTGGAGGAGATCTCGGACGACCCAGCAGCTCGGTGTTGCGATTTCGCACACCATTTTGCAGGCAAAGTTGCCCAGATACGTCTTGAGCTTGACTCCAATTTCATCGCAGTGCCAAGGGAGGTGATTGAGGCTTCTGCTTGTCAAATTTTGTGGGATTCTTTTCGGCTTGTTCTTCCTGAGACCGTGGAGGAGGTTCTTGGGGCTGTGAGGGCGACCACTTCGGCCCTAGACCCTTGCCCATCCTGGCTTATTAAATCTGCCAAGGAGGGGTTGGTTGATTGGTTTGTGTTGATCATTAACGCATCGTTGGAGCAAGGGATCTTTCCATCTAACTTAAAACAGGCTGTGGTTCGCCCACTCCTTAAAAAGTCTTCCCTTGACTCTACGGTGCTGAACAATTACAGGCCGATCTCCAACCTCCCTTTTTTGGGTAAGGTGCTGGAGCGGGTGGTCGCCCTCCAGCTCCAGGACTTCCTGGATGACATCAATTACCTAGATCAGGCACAGTCTGGTTTCAGGCCTGGTCATGGCACCGAGACAGCCTTGGTCGCCTTGGTGGATGACCTCCGTAGAGGATTGGACAGGGGGAGTGTGACCCTGCTAGTCCTCTTGGACATCTCAGCGGCTTTCGATACCATCGATCATGGTATCCTTCTGGGTCGCCTCTCTGGGATGGGTCTTGGGGGCACGGTTTTGTCGTGGCTCCGGTCCTTCCTGGAGGGTCGATCCCAGATGGTGAAGCTGGGAGACGCCTGCTCGGACCCCTGGCCTTTGACCTGTGGGGTCCCGCAAGGCTCTATTTTGTCTCCCATGCTTTTTAACATCTACATGAAACCGCTGGGAGAGGTCATCCGGAGTTTTGGAGTTGGGTGCCATCTTTACGCAGATGACACACAACTCTACTACTCTTTTCCACCTAATTCCAAGGAGGCCTCTCGGGTGCTAGACGAGTGCCTGGCCGCTGTGTCTATCTGGATGAGGACGAACAAGCTGAAGATCAATCCCGACAAGACAGAGGTCCTCCTGGTCGATCGTAAACCAGATCGGGGTATAGGGTGGCAACCTGTGTTGGACGGGGTTACACTCCCCCTGAAGTCACAGGTCCGTAGCTTGGGAGTCCTCCTGGACTCATCGCTCACGCTTGAGGCTCAGGCGTCGGCGGTGGCCGGGAGGGCTTTTGCACAACTGAGACTTGTGCGCCAGCTACGACCGTACCTCGCTAAGGCTGATCTGGCCGGGGTGGTCCACGCCTTAGTCACCTCCAGACTGGATTACTGCAATGCGCTCTACGTGGGGCTGCCCTTGAAAACGGCTCGGAAATTCCAATTGGTCCAACGGGCAGCAGCCAGGATGTTAACTGGGGCCCCTTACAGAGAGAGGTCAACCCTCCTGTTCAAGGAGCTCCACTGGCTGCCGTTTATTTTCCGAGCCCAATTTAAGGTGCAGGTGCTTACCTACAAAGCCCTGAACGGTTTGGGACCACCCTACCTGCGTGACCGTATCGTTGTCTATGAACCCACACGTTCACTCCGGTCATCTGGAGAGACCCTGCTCGTGATCCCGCCCGCGTCACAAGCGCGCTTGGTGGGGACATGAGATAGGGCCTTCTCTGTGGTGGCCCCCCGCCTCTGGAACGCCCTCCCGAAAGACCTCAGACAAGCCCCTACATTGGCAGTCTTCAGGAAGAATTTGAAAACCTAGCTATTCCAATGTGCCTTTTCAGACTAGGAACCCCAGTACCAAATCCCAGAAGCACTTTAGTTAGAACCAAGATCACCGCACACCGCACTTATACTATAATCCCATATCCCTCCGACACACCAGCACTTGTTGTACCGCTTTTGTTATTGTTTTTGCTTAACTGTTTTTATTTGCTATGTACTGTATTGTTGTATTGTTGTATTGTGTGGGCCTCGGCCCGTTGTAAGCCGCATCAAATCCCTTGGGAGATGCTAGCGGGGTACAAATAAAGTTATAATAATAATAATAATAATAATAATAATAATAATAATAATAATATAATAGAAGTGTGCAATAGCACACAAGAGAGTCTCACATCAAGAACACAATAAGCGTAATGATCTATTTTGTGCGTCAACACTGGTGTAAGCATTTCCCTTTGTGTGTGATTAATGAATCGCACATCCATGTAGCAGTTTCTTAGAGGCATGTTCAATCATTCATATGGATAAATATGGACAGTGAATGTAGTAGTCATGAAGGAGATGACTGGCTGCAGTTCCTCTCCTCAAGGCAGCACTGCCTTTGTCACAATCATGATAATAAATGTACATCTCCTCTGTTGCCACATAAACCTTATTCAGTCATTATATAAGTGTACTGTAACAACATACAAGGGGAATGTACTGTAGTAACACAGAGGACGGCTAGCCTTATGCCCTCTGTCTTGGGTTTTGTCCCTGCACATAGAAAATGGCCATCTGAAGTAGTGTCCCATCTATTTTTTCCCCCGTGTCAGGAGCGACTAGAGAAACTGCAAGTTGCTCCTGGTGTGAGATAATTGGCCATCTGCAAGGAACTTGCCCAGGGGATGGCCAAATGTTTTGATGTTTGACCATCCTTGTGGGAGACTTCTCATGTCCCCGCATGGGGAGCTGGAGGTGACAGAGGAAGCTCATCCGCACTCTCCCCAGATTCGACCTGTCGGTCTTCAGTTCTGCCAGCACAAAGATTTAACCCATTGTGCCACCGGAGGCTCCTTCTGCCATCTATGAAGGCTACCTATGCAAACTGGAACTGTGATGGAGCCATGTTAGATACAAGGAATGGAGCCAGCACTCTTTTCTCCTGGTGTGTTCATACAGCACTTCCACCATGATTGAATAATGATCTAGACACATTCTATTGACCCCTTGTAAATGTGGTACTCTTTATATGGGAAAAGTGGTCCTATGAGCAAGAGTTTGTGGTATTTATGTATTTATTTATTTACTTTGCTTGTATACCGCAGTTTCTCAGCCTGTAGGCGACTCAACGCTAATTTAAGTGGTAGAACTTAATCTGAAATAAGGAGCATGTTACAGTCAAAAACAATGTTCTGAGGTTTACAGTGATAAGCTAAACAGTGACTAAGATACCCCAGTTTGATACTCACTTTGCATCCTGGGCATTTCTCCTTTAGTTTTCGGGCAATGCCAGTGATGGTGCCCCCTGTGCCAGCTCCAGCCACAACCATGTCTATATTACCTATTGAACAGGCAGAAAGAGTTGAAGTGGGTTACAAGAAGTGTAAATGAAAATAGTTCTTTAATTTATGAGAAAGCAGGGCATGAAGGCAGCAAGTAAAGGTAAAGGTTTAGGTTTCCCCTTGACATTACATCTAGTCGAGTCCAACTCTGGGAGGTGGTGCTCGTTTCCATTTCTAAGCCAAAGAGCCAGCGCTGTCCATAGACACCTTCTAGGTCATGTGGCTGGCATGACTGCATGGGGTGCCATTGCCTTCCAGCAGGAGTGGTACCTATTGATCTACTCGTATTTGCATTTTTTCAAACTGCTAGGTTGGCAGAAGCTGGGGCTAACAGCGGGAGCTCACCCTGCTCCCCAGATTTGAACCACCAACTTTCTGCCAGCAAATTCAGCAGTTCAGCAGTTTAACCTGCTGCGCCACTGGGGGTAGCATCAGAAGTTATTTCATTAATAAGAAAGCACTAAATTAATGATAAAGACTATTTGCTGTGGTTTTATTTAAGACCAATTAAAGAAGAATGAGCATAAGGAAATAAATTATGATACAAACTTTCATGCCAGTAGTTTAAGCCTTTGTCACCAGTTCCTCTCCATGTGATAAGATTCAGTCTCTCATTATGAAGAATAACCTACATATGCATTTATCTTTTTTATTACATGCTATAAAACATGCCCCTATAAAATTTTATGGGGATCATAAGATTCCATATACATACTAATTTAAGTATAAGAAATTTCTAATGCCTGCACATCTCTCAAGGCATTTTACCTCACTTATGGCAACTGCATCCATTAGATAAGGTTTTAGTACCTTTTACAATGGCACACAAAACTCAATATTAGCATTACGTTCCATTTCGCAACAGGAGAAGCTTTTAATCGCAAAAATTCTCAATTCTTCACTACTATTCAAGGCAAAAGAGCTTGAATGGCCCCCCTCTTGCTTTTTATTCAAGGCCTTCAGGCTGAAATGCATTATTCGAATTACAACATCATGTAAATTATTTCTCAGATAATACTCCTAGCAATTTAAATGTGCATTTTAGATGCTGGTCACTATCTTTTCCCAAGAACTGATATAAGGATTATTTATTTAACATGGCATTTATAGAAGATATGCTCAACACAGCATTCACTTCCTATAGGCAATAGGTAGCTTCAGTGTGACTAGAACTAGGAGTATGTAGCCCTTAGGTCTAATTTTTTTGCAATGGATTTCCTTAAGTCTAGAACTTGCTATGTGAGAGCACCCTCTGCTGGAGGTGAAGCAACAAGCCTAAACACAGCAGGTTAATTAGTGAGCTCATTACTTCCTCAAGACATTAAATGAAGCCCAAATTAGTTAAACATTACAACGAATGTCTCTGACCTGCTGCTCTTAAAATACTTAAAGGAGAGAGATGTGTGACATTATAACTTTCCAAAACCCCCCTTTTCTTGGGTTGTTCTTTATATGAAACTACTGAACGAGATGTCATCATATCACATACCTTCCCTATGCAAACATGGCAAGAGGAATATGGGAAAATATACACTTTGCATTCCTTGTAATGTGTAACTAATGTGTAACATGTGTTTCCTCCTCATTTGGCCTTGGGATTATAGCCAAATACTTTAAAAACAGAGCTGGGTTGTCATTCTGTGACTTCAAAAGTGCTAATGCCAGTGAGTAGGCTTATGCAATTTGGCTGGAAGGCGATCCAGTTTTGGCAACTGAATTTCACAGGGCACCCAGATTTGTTTTTTGGGAGCCTCCCGAAAATCAGCTAATGGAAACATCTGTATTTGGCTATGCATTGAAAGATATGGAAGATCCGGCCAATTGGTGGCAATGAGCAACTTACAAAGCTCCCCCTTCTGTTCCTGGGGTCCTTTCCTTTCAAGGGAGTTTGGGTTTGAACAACAGGGTTAAAGAAGCAACCTTCCTGGGACCCCTTTTCTTTCTTGCCTTCAAGAGTCTGGGTTTAAGCAACAGGTTTGAGGAACCACCCGTCCTGGGGCTCTTTTTTTTGCTTCCTTTCAAGGAAGTCTGGGTTTGAGCAAGAGGGTTAAAGAAGCACTGCGAAAGACATATCACGGTGTTCTTCTATTCAGATTGGTCCAACAGAGAGGGCTCACAGGGAAAGGAGGAACAGTGATCAGCTGCCATGTGGTCCTGTAAGGGACGATAAACATGACATCTGGGCCCTTACTGTTATGGCCATCTGGCCAAGCCGAACTGGCCGAAGGGAACCAACAACTCCGAATCTGTGCACAAGCCTACCAGTGAGTATATTTACTAAAAATATCTAACATGCCCTGTTTTGAGACTCTGGGGGTAATAGTAAAACAATAACTATAATACTACTTATGTATATATGATTAGAGAAAGGAACTTTTTAGAAGTCCTTCCTCAGTTACAAAGTTGCCTCGGTACATAAACTCCAACATCTCAATTTTCAGGTTTTCATATTACAACTGTTACTTGAAAGGACCTCCAGAATACTTCCACAGGGTACTGTGCAAAGTAGGTATTTTCCAATTTTCTCTAATGATGTATACGTAGGGCACAGCTGACCAGTTTCAATGTATTAACTGACCTTCTGTCTATCCAGCCCCACAAAGATATGGAGAATGCAAGGAAGGCAGGAATGGTATGAAATCCCTTGTGCACTGAAGAGTTCTATGAAACATTAGGGTCTAACAAAATGGAATTACAGCTTCCCCACAGTTCTGTGCCAGACATTAAAACAAAAATGCAGATGAAAAGATTTCACAGTTCCTCTGAAACATCTTCGCAGGCAGCAAAAATGTTGGAGCATGTAAGAAATTAGTTAGTATGTGCGTGTTAACTTCAAAATAAGATGCACAAAGCTATGTCTGGGGAGCTAGCTGAGCCTGGGATTTTTGGTTACTGTTACATTTTTAGGCCTGGGCTGTGCTTGTAGAGAGAGACAGTTTGGAGTGTGCTCTTGCTTCTTGAGCTGCTGAAGGAGTTTCTCCACATCGACAAAGTAAGACAATTTTAAATCTCTCATAAAAGGACATTATGTGAGTCTATGCAACTGATCACATAATTGTAAATATGTTGTTCTGCATTACAAAGAGTATACTACTTGTTCTTTATTGTTCACCTGTGTGGCATATTTTCTTTCTCTGGCAAGGCAGTGTGTGGGCTGATCAAACATGAACTACACATGGTTTATTTTACATCACACCACAAAAATACCTCTTGTGGGTTGTGGTCATCACTGCAATCACCATTCACACACATGCTACCTTTACAAGCCCTATCCTTTGCCATTTTGCTTTGTGTTTGACTCTTTGTGAGAATTATCCCAAAGCAAATGTGTAGTAAAGATCACCTTTTTTGATAAGACACTCTCTCTAAAAAAAACCCTCAGAGGTTAGAAAAGGCAGGGCACCTGAGTATTGGTCAAGACAGGCATGTGGGACAGAAGTTTTCCTTTCTTCCATCTTAGGACAGAGAGAGCAGTGGAAATTCAAGGGTGAGTGACAACTACCAAATCAAGGCAATGCCGCACCTCGAAGCCATTTGCCATTTTCCTCCCAAACATCACCACTGAATGCAATGGTGCAACACCCAAAAGTTGTGATGTAATGGCAGAATACCCACAATTTCACTTCAAAGCAGAATGGACTCCAAAGTAAAATGACCTAGCTTATAATTGTGGCTTTTGTTGCTAGCCTGCAGCTTGTAGATGGAAATGTCTGGTCCCTGTCTCCTCTCTCTGTTTAAGTTATTGTAAGGAATCCACCAATTCTGGAAGAATACTGGACGAAGAACAGAGATGATACCTGCAGGCGGGACATACCTTCGCACTGCTGTAGGATCTCCTCTGCTGTTGTGTCATAGTGGGCCAGAGGATTACTGGCATTGCGATACTGTATTAAAAAAGGAAGGAGAATGCAAAAATAAAGAAAATTTAAGAATAACACTAATGCAGAGGCACAGATGGAGGTTCATGTTATTTACAGAGTCTGGAAGTGACTTTTTTGGTTGATGTTGTTGATCCATACAGGCCTCTTCTCATTACACTCTGCTCATAGTGGCAAGTATGACAGAAAGGGACTTGTCAGAATTGAGTATCAGGATTGAGTCTCCATTCATAGTTCATTAGGCCTTTTCTTTTTTCCTCAGGGATGTTTTGGAGACCCACTTGTTGCTCTTCCTTGAAGTAAAGTTAGGCATTTATTGTTTTATCGCTGATTTTGACTGTTTGTATTTTATGTATATGTCTTGCTATGGAAGCGCTCAACCCATAAAAGTAGGCTAGGAATAATTGTGAATATACAAATACGTTTGACTGGTGTTCTACTTGGTTTTCCCTTCTCTAGTTTGTAGTATTTTAGCACATGTTACTGTATTTCTATTATTGCTGTTTAAATTAAAAAGCTGAACTATGTTCTCACAGGTGATTTATCAAATGTTAATTTACCAATAATAGATTCAAAGAAATTATGACAATTTCAGCATTACTCAGCTTCATAAGAAGGATGTTTCAAATTTCTTTACCTTTACTATAACACAGAGATTACTTACATGTCAATATTTACTCCACTTTAGTTGCAACTGATCCAAGTCCTTTTAACTTGCTGAAACTTTGGCTGAACCAAAGAGTGTGATGGCTAAAAATCTCTGCTATAAGACCCAGGAAGAACATAAATTCAGCTTTAATCAGAATATTAGACTTAAACTGAATTAGAGTTGGACCCAGGAGTTTAGCTGCTTCATATACAGCATAAGGACAAGTGTGTGTACCATGAAAGGTCAGAAAATTGTTATGTTATTGAAAGTACTATTTTATTTTTACTGTCAGAGAGAGAAAATGGCACTAGTGGGATGTTAAATCACATGCCTCAAACACAACATGGCTGCCTGTCTTTTGGGCACTAAATGCTTATATGTTGTTAGATGTAGGGGAGAGGGTAATTTTTTTTGTTCCATCTAAGGAAATATAATGGTTATTGGGTTGTTGTGAGTTTTATGGGCTGTAAGGCCTTGTTCCAGAAGTATTCTCTCCTGACATTTCACCTGCATCTATGGCAGGCATCCTCAGAGGTTGTGAGGTCTACAAGCTTGAAGGCATCCTCACAACCTCTGAGGATGCCTTCCATAGATACAGGCAAGAATGCTTCTGGAACATGGCCTTACAGCCCAGAAAACTCACAACAACCCAATGATTCCAGCTATGGAAGCCATCAATAATACAAATAATGGTTATGTTTCACCTCTTCATGAAATGATGATTCAAATGGAAGTTCAGCCAGTCAGATCACTTGGGGAAGAGACTAAACACTCAGTTTCTCATGTGCCAATAAATGTACTCCACAAAAGTTCCATTGGGAACTTGATGCACCCATTTTTAATACTCCCCCCGTGGATGATACTATACCTGATCCAAAATGTGAGAGTTGGGGATTTCATTTTTCAGTCTCCATGCCACCCCGACATGAGATTCTGGAGAGTCAAACCTCGCATTAGTTGGAGTCCTTACAATTTCAGCTCCAAGAGCACGCAAGACATCCACCTATTTTTTAAAAAAACGGGAAAACATTTTTTCCTGGTGAAATGTGTTGCAATATCTGCTCCAAGTGAGAAATGAAAACTTAAACAACAGGAATTTAAATAGTATACATCAGAAGTAATAGTTGGCTATTTCAGTTATACTTAGCAAATTGACACCACAACAGTATTGACCTCACATGTTGGGATAATGTTAACTTAAATACTTATCCTCATTATACAAGGTACTACTTTACTGCCACAGCTAGTTAGATATATATAGCCAACAGCAATGCTGACTTTAAAGTTCAGTCATGAAATTAAGTGTTGATCTTAAAACATCCGAAATGATAAGTGGGTCTGACCTTCTCCATGCTCATTTTTTCTGGCATCACAATTATACAGCGGTAGCCTTTCACTGCAGCTGCCAGGGCCAGTCCAATCCCTGGAACCAAGACAAATATGTCATGAAAAGAAACCATACTTGCTTCATATTTAAGAATAATTCATCCATAAGAATATAGGAAGCTGTCTTGTGCAGAATCAAGCTATTGGTTCATCTAGCTCAGTCTTGTTTACACCACCTCCTCTTCAACTCAGTGTACTCCTGATTAGTCAGAATCCCATAACCAGCTGTGATGGAAATGTAGGAGTGGCAGTCTTATACATTAAGAGGGCATCAGATGGGAAAAACTGATGGACAACAGCTTAGGAACCTCTTCCATGTGCCCTGTTTGTGTCTCCATACAATTTTTTTAATTTTTAAAAGGATCTTAAAGGACCCTTCCCCCATGTATCTAGGGTCAACTTCCATTTCAATTCATGGTTTGCTTGCTTGTTTTGAAAACATCTTTTTTGGACCACACACACACACACACATATATATAATTTGAGTGTGCACCAGTCTGAAGTGCATCTCACTCAATTTATTCAATGGACATTTTATTATTAACCAAGAGTTAGGAACATGCTTAATCTTTTCACACCTGTCACTGTATTTTTATTTTGAAAGGGGGGAAGGGAAGAAAATACCATATCCTGTTCCTTTGCCCACCCTCCCTGTAGACACCGTAATTCAGATTCTCATTACTACTGTTTCAGCCTGAGATGTCAATACCTGTATTTCCTGAAGTTGGTTCAATAATAGTATCCCCAGGTTTCAGAATACCATCCCTTTCAGCATCTTCAACCATACGAAGGCTAATTCGGTCCTTCACACTACCTCCAGCATTGAAAAACTCACATTTTGCCACTGGAAATCACAAGCAACACATTAAATTGGAATTTTCAGCTGAAATTTCAGCAAAATCAATACTCCCACCACACCAAAAAGCTGGTGATAGATGAGAATGAACACCACATTGCAGTGAAGGATTTGGTAAACATAATTAAAACTAGCCATCACCCAGTAAAAGGGACATGTGGTCTGTTTAACTGTATCCCAAGTGGACAAAAGATGATGAAATTAAAGCGGTGGTGAAGAAATTATGACCTGGGCTGTCTGCAGCTTCTCAGAGCCATTTTTGTGGCTCCTTCAGACCACAATGGGCCCAGAGTGTCCATATGGGTTCAGTTCCAAATGGGAAAAAGCATGCATGATCTTGCCCCATATTATTATATGGCTTCATGGTTTTCATAGATATGGTGTATCTGTGGACAGTGTAAATACTGAAGCCAGAGCCCACATATCTGGAGGGACTCATTGTACCATTTTTTAAATTGCTTCATGGAAGGGCAATTGTGCCATAGGTTTAGCACATCTATACTGTTTTAGGTCCAGGAAAGCCCCCTTTTTTAACAACTGAAGCTTCCAGGTTACCCCTTGTTAGGAAAAAGGCCACTCCTGGGCCTAAAACACGATTAAATTTCCCCATGCCCCCAGAGGGATTTTAATGCTTTTGGAAGCCCAAAAAGAGGGGCTGCAGCCACCCAATATTTCCCACGTAGGTCTCAATGCATTACCCTAGCTCCGAAGAGTTGCCCATCTGAACTAAAGGCTTTCATTATATCTATTCTGGATCATTACAATGCTGTGCTTCCTCTTTTAGGTAGCTTTAACACTTATGTGAGATAACATGTTTTGTCTTCTAACCTGAGTTTTTATTTCCCAAGAATTCTTGACAAATCACTTTCCTAGAAAAGGTCCTCTTCCAACAGCCAGTAAACCCACCAAGGGGGGGGGGGGGGGGTTGTACCTTTCCTTCTCTTTTTCCATCTCTCTGATTCAGACTTGTTTTGGCCTTTTAACCAATGCCTATCAGTTCCTGTTCACTGCACATAATTGGGAATATGTACAGTAACTAGGCAGATGGCTATAGATAACACAAGTAGTAAAAGTAAACACCATCAACTTCTGGATAGAACAGGATTTTCCTCGAGCATGATCTGAATGGCATGAGTGGCACTTGTGCTACAGCCCCCACCAGCTCTGTGTTTCTTCCACAATACTCACAAAGTTCACATTTAAGACCAAACTGCTTTCCAATCTTGTTGATTCGCACCAATGGAGTGTCGCCGATTTTCTTCAGGATGTTTGGCATAATATGTGGAGTCTTTGTTCTAAACCAGAAAGACACAGAAACATGTAATAGAAATGGAAAACAGTCCTTAACCCCACAGCAATACATCAGCATCTAAAACATAGCTTTCAATAAATAAATAAATAAATAAATAAATAAATAAATAAACAAACAAACAAATAACTAAATGTGATCATCGAATTGAAAGAGGCCATAAAGACCATCCAGTCCAATCCAATGCCATGCGGGAATGATGTTTTAAGGTAAAGGTAAAGGTTTTCCCTGACATGAAGTCTGTTCATGTCCAACTCTGAGGGTTGGTGCTCATCTCCATTTCTAAGCTGAAGAGCCAGCATTGTCCATAGACACCTCCAAGGTCATGCAACCTGCATGACTGCATGGAGCGCCATTACCTTCCCACCAGTACCTCTTGATCTACTCACATCTGCATGTTTTCAAACTGCTAGGTTGGCAGAATGATGTTTTAGATTAACATATATTGGATCCCTGGCATCAAACAAGCCCAAGATTACAATAAATACATTTACGTGGAAAGAGATTTCAAAGCAATATGTGGGTCTTACAAGAAAATGTGTTTAGGGCAGGCTTTTTACTCCATCTCATGTATAGTTACAATGGGATATGACTGGAGAAATTCCATTCCTCAGCCTGACCCTCAGAAAAATCCAAGTACAGCTACTATGTGGTAGAGTACTACTGAACGCCCACTTACAGTGTGACATGGTGATGTGGTGATTCAGAGGGAGATTTTCCGGGCTCCCAGCTGCACTTGCTTGGCGCATCAGGCCTGATCCACTTCCTTTCCTTTTCTGTGTTGTTACAAGGGTCTTTCTCAAGGGTACTGCTGGACTCCTTTGCCAGACCTCCATTGGGGATGCAGCTGGCTGAGAAGTGAGGGCAAGAGAGGGCATTCATTTCAGCCTCTGCAGGAAGTGATGGCATACTGACCTGAAGAGGGAGAAAAGGACAATGTAGTTGTGAGTAATCATTTGCAAAAGGCATTGTTGGGCAATCCTTCAGTCACTTGTCAATAAATGCAAACTGGAACGTCAATATTATCGATCTCAAATAAAGACGTAGAACATTTATGTGTACCTTGCGACTACTAAGTGACTCAACATCTTCAAAGCTGAGCAAACATAGAAAAAATCAAATCCTATAATTGGCAGAATACTGTACTGTAATTTACTTTTGGAAATTAAAAATCCTCCCAGCTAATGTGAAAATACAGAGTGCTTTTCTTTTGATGCTTCATTTTCATGGCACTGGGCTATATTAAACAAGGTTTTTGATATTTTGTGATATACATGGATGAATTTTAACCCAGAAGTCATTGATTTTTAATGGTTTTAAACTGTTTTATTATGAATTTTATTATGTGATTTAACCTGTTTTAAATGATAACTTTTTTTTTGTGCGCAGCATCTAATGTTGCCAACCTGAGTCACCTTCGGGCTGAAAAGGGTGGGATAAAAGTGTAGTAAATAAATAAATAATAAATAAATATACAAAACTGTTTAAGGGCGTATCTACACTGCATGATTAATGCAGTTTCACACCACGTCAACTGCCATGACTCAGTGCTTTGGAATCCTGTTGTTTGGAAAGTCACCAGCACTCTTTAGCAATGAAAGATAAAGACCTTGTGAAACCACAGCTCCCAGGATTCCATAGTATTGAGCCATGCCAGTTAAGTGGTGTCAAACTGCATTAATTCTATAGTGTAGATGCACCCCATGTTTGCTTTGCTCCTCACGTTTTTATTTTAAGAGTGATTTCGTCTTCAATGTCCTAGGATTTAGAATAAGGAGAAAGAAGAAAAGAGCATATGACTGGAATGGAAGAATTGAATTAATGAGTCTTACAGGTTCAAGAGGAATTTGTTAGACCAGTGGTTCTCAACCTGAGAGTCCCCAGGTGTTTTGGCCTACAACTCCCAGAAATCCCAGCCAGTTTACCAGCTGTTAGGATTTCTGGGAGTTGAAGGCAAAACACCTGGGGACCTAGCGGTTGAGAACCACTGTGCTAGATAGTAAAACCCTATGAAATATATGGGATGGTTTTAAGTAGACAAGCGACTACTTAAAGCATAAGCACACCCACATATCTATATGTATTCATTCACATTCAAGGAGTGTTTCTATATGGATCCTTCCACTCTGTATCCCATTATTCTCACTGAAACAGAGAATGTTAGGAGAAGGGGAAATACATCATTTCCCCATACCTATCTGACCGCATCTCGGCCTACGAGCCCACCAGGACTTTGAGATCGTCCGGGGAGGCCCTGCTCTCGATCCCGCCTGCCTCACAGGCACGCCTGGCGGGGACGAGAGACAGGGCCTTCTCGGTGGTGGCTCCTCGGCTGTGGAACACCCTTCCCGTGGACATCAGACTGGCTCCTTCCCTGGTGATATTCCGCAGGAAATTAAAGACTTGGCTGTTCAAGATGGCGTTCGAACAAGAAGTGCAATAATTGGTAATGACGACAGGAATGGAACAACGGAAAATGATACTGGATTGTGGTTTAAATGATGAGACGACGAGAATGGCTTTTTGTATTACTGATACTGTTGATGTTTTTGATGATCATGTTTTTGGTTATTGCTAGATTGATATTTTAGATTGTGTCTTGAATTTGAACCTGTCCTTTCTATGTTGTATGTGAGTCACCCTCGGGCTGAGAACAGCGGTATACAAGCAAAGTAAATAAATAAATAAATAAATACAGTATATTCTGGCGTATAAGACTACTTTTTAACCCAAGAAAATCTCCTCAAAAGTCAGGGGTCGTCTTATACACGAATGTAGTCTTATGCATGGGAGTTGTCTTAACTCTATATTTTAACTGGAAAAGTTGGAGGTCGTCTTATACGCCCAGTCGCCTTATATGCCGGAATATACGGTAAATCATCATTTTTCACATTTGATCGAGGGATGGAGGAGGGAGCAAACTTGTTTTCTGCTGCCTTGGAGACTAGGATGCAGAACAACGGCTTCAAACTACAAGAAAGGAGATTCCACCTGAACATTAGGAAGAATTTCCTGACTGTGAGAGCTGTATAGCAGAGGAACTCTCTACCCCGAAGTGTGGTGGAGGCTCCTTCTTTGGATTCTTTTAAACAGAGGCTGAATGGCCATCTGTCAGGAGTGCTTTGAATGCGATTTTCCTGCTTCTTGGCAGAAGGTTGGACTGGATGGCCCACGAGGTCTCTTCCAACTCTATGATTCTATGTTTTCCCTTTGCTGCTTCTTGTTTTGTTTACACAAAATCACTTTTAGTTGGAAGGCTGGGAGACATCTTACTGGATATGCAAAAACAACTTGCTTCTTGAGAATAAGGGGGAAATGCTAGCATCTTACATTTTCTAGAGCATGTAGACACTTTTGCATTTTAAAAAGGCATCACAACCACCACCAACACACCCTTTCAAAGGTTACTATGGGGAAAATTAATCTTGTTGCTTGACCAGGAACTGAAAAAAACACTCTTTAATAATTGCACTATGTAAATGATCTGTATCTTCATGACTAGGAGGAAGAATGTGAGTCTATTTGCTCTGGGGCAGTAAGTGAAAAGCAGAAAGTTACTATTGGTTTGGATTATTCAGCTTATAAGAACAATGTGATCTTTGGCTTCTTGAATGAATGACATTTTCTCATACAAAGTGAGGCTACTCTGCACTGGAAATGTTACTGATAGAAACTCAGATATAATTCAGTGACGGCATATTAATTCTGAAAATTAAAACCTCAAAAGTGACATTTCCAGAATCTGGTTATGACTAAGCCTCAGAAGTTCTCTATGGTGTTGTGTAGAGGTCTATTCCTCAGCAATTAACTGAACCTCAAGAGCAGTAATGCTTCTAAGGTTTAACAATGGTCTCATAAGTCTTTTGTGGACAAATCATGTTAGCTACATCTCAGTGAATAAAGGCTTAACTTCGAATTAATCTGGAAGTCATATTCACACCTAAGTGTGGACTAAAATTCTAAGTGCACCCTAACTTCACCAATAAGAAGTATTTGTTCTGCAAGAAAGCAGCTATTTCTGGACTCTCCAGACTGGTCTAACGAAGTATGAGTTCTTTCAGTATAGCTCTGTGGTTTTGCTAGTTGTCGTTTCCATATCCATTCGTTCCATTCTTTTTGGCACTTGTTTGTAGTTCTTTAATCTCCATTAGGGCTCTTACAAATGTTTTATAAAACCAGGGATGTAGTTTGTTGAGGTGTAGCAATGATTTTAAGGTCAAAATTTCCTCTACTTTGATTTTTTAATTATAGTATTTGAATATAAAAGGTTTCTTTTATTGGCACTTGCTTCAATGACATTGCACATTTTTGTTTTAAAGGAGGGAAAGAAAAGAATACATGTTTGTTCTGATATGTCTTTGAACTGGAAGGAATTCCACTTGAAGGTAGGAATAAAATGTTACCAGAAAATAGTCATGGATAACAAAAACACTGTTTGCATATATATATATTTAAAACCTGAGAATTATCATAACAAATACTGCAACTTACCCAAACATTTGACCCATCTGAAGGTGACAACACTTACATTATTTTCAAAAGATTCAACCAGGAAAACAATAAACACAAAATCTTTGTGTGGCAAGTAAGCAAGCAGCAGTGAAGTTCACAAGACTGGAAAATCAGGAACTAGTAGAGTTTAGAGGAGTCACAGCATCAGGAAATGCTGCCTGTGTGTTCATAAAGCACCAAGAAATACTCTCTTTAGCAAGAACCTGACCAGAATCTTCTGGTGTTGAGGTGTTTGCATCACATTTGATCCCTAGCAGTGACAAGAAAGCACCTTCCACTTTGTTGATGAGGAAGCAGCAAAAGAAGAAATTCAGATAGGTTATGGTTTGTTTGCCAAAATATCCTGGTAGCCAGGAGAAGAGACCATGTTATAGAGACTAGGCTCAGGAGAAATGATGTTACTGCCTCCAAATTTCAGACACATGTAGATCAAACAGCAGGTACTAGTCCTGTGGGCACAGAGTTTGTACTACACCCTAACACATACATACACAAGATTAGCATCTTTTTTTCTCTTGAACATGGTTCTGAGCTTTTAGAGATTACAATTTAAACAACTGCACAAGAGGGATTTTGCTCTTAATGCACCTGGCATGGAGTCTTTTGGACTTGAGGAAGCAACTGACAGCCCTGTAAAAATATATTCATGTAAATAAAAGATTGCGTAATGACAGTAAATATGGGTGTTTCGTGGTGCGTCTACATAAATTACAGTATCCTGCCAGGTACTGCCATTCCTGAAAAGGCAATAAACCTTAGAGAGAACCTAGGATTTTTTGCATGCAAAGCATGTGTACTAAATTATGTTAGAAACCTTTCACCAATAATTGATAAAAGGGATCTATGGATAGGAATGGCTTTGGCTAGTCTGAATTTTTTTAAAGGTGGCCAAAGGATTGTTAAAACAAAGTGATTAAACATTTTTTTTTCTTGTATGTAAGATGCCATAATTATAAGAAGGTAGTGAGGAATGAATGCAACCAAAAATAATATATGCTTGTTGTGTCATCTACATCACCATTACAGGTGTTTGTGCTTGTTTGTGGACATTGTACTTTGTAAAGCCTGCAATTGATGAAGAGTTGAAAAAACAATAGAAGAGGTAATCCTATGCACCAGATATGTGCCAACGTAACATACTTGTGTTCCTATCCTTAACCAACAGGAGTACCAATAGCACAACAGCTGCAGAAACCAAAACCAAAATAGCAGTGACAGACACTCCCCCCTAGTGCCTCTGGAAACTCCATTGCCACTCACCAATCACAGCACTGCATACTGACAACACCCCCATACTGTCAATACACATGCCTTGACAACGTGGCAACACCCAGCCCTACACACCCTCACACAGCCCTATCACACACCCTCCACATGCTATGCAGAACATAAGCCATGCCAAG